GGAAGAAATTGAGCCTTCTCCCGTGAAAAAATGCAGTGGTGCGCTAGTGGGGAGCATGTACACACTCTCAGGATAATTTGACAAGGCCAAGCCGCCCAGGCACAAGGATGCTGTAGCCCACTCCCCCCATACCCGGCACCATTGCACCCACCTACCCTTCTATGTGACTTTCTCGATTTCGAAAAAGGTTCGTCCAATAAATTCTAACTAAAATGAAAAGGGATAGGATTAAGGCGAATGACTCAAGTTGTAGCCTAGATGTTTTCAGGGAAATCGAGCCAGATGGATCGGTGGCGGCTGCATGTTGATTGCCATCGCTAATCTTCTAATCAGCTCCTCCAACTTTTTATTTCCTGTGGAGGAGTACCATGTGAACAGCACTTACATTCCTAGCTCATTGGCTTATGAAGTCAACAGGTAAATCTCAATTTACTCCTTTCTTCGGTTTAAATCTCTTTTCGTGTTCAGTCGGTTTCATAAAAAAGCTCAGAGAACTTGCTCAACCTTAAAGGGGCCATCATACCGAGGTTAGCCCAGAATTATGAATAGGCGGTGCCTATCTATGCTTACTTAAAGGCAGTGAGTACGATAAAATAGATCTGCATCGAGGAAGTAAAACAGCAGTGGAAACGATACCTAGACAGAAAGGAAAAGTGGTGTAGAGTTTCCGTGGCGAAGGATGCGCTAGAGACGCACTTGAGCCCCAAATGATAACCGCCCCGCCCTCACGCATAGTTGTTGAATTTTGCGAGACCGTTGTGTTAGCGTTTAATTTTTATCTTGAACGTGCATTTTGCATCAAACGGTCGTATCCTGTAATTTTTGTTCCCTCTCGTTTCCTATTGGTACGAACTCGTCCAAACAATCAGCAACCAAACCGTGAACTCGTCCAGTCGAAAGACAGCGTGAAGGTTCCATTTCACGGGTTTTCGTCGTTCAGCTTTTCAGGTTATTCAGGTTTCCTCCTTATTGTCACAGTATTAGACATTCCATTCTATACCTGATCGGTACCAAATTGTCGCAGCCACTGCCTTTAAGCTCAAAGGGACGTTGAAAATTGGTGCCAGGTGTTCACTCAAATATGTGGTTTCGTATACTAAACGAATAGATATTGAAGGCCGGCAGCAGCAACTGGGTAGGGGAGGGTAGACCCTTTTCCTAAAGAAGGGTTACATATGTTGCCTTCTTTAGATTTGAAAATAGTTCCTGTTTTGTACAAAAGATGTCTCCTCTCAGAATTATCCCACAAAAAAGCTATAAAACCCAGCTATCAGTTGTGTTCCAGTCGTTTGTTCGTAGACGGTTATTTTTGGTCTGATGCCCTTTTGATCAGCTGATCGCTTACGTTGACACGAACAAAGAACACTTTGTCTTTCTGACATCATCGCTGCTGGACTTCCTCTCACGGAGATTTCGGGGTTACTCAAGGCTCTCAGTTGACCCAATCCTCAGCATACCGTAACCTAAGCTCTTAGGTCATTCAACTACCAGGCCTTTCAGGCTCCGGCAGGCTTTGATTTCTTACTCTGAAGTGCGCTTCATTACGTCAGCATTCCGAGTCTTCGAAAGCGGAACCTCTTGTTAAATTATCCATTGAAATCTTATTTTGTCTCCTGGTGGACTACATCTTGAAAATATTCCAGTAAACACGAATATATTAAGAATAGTAAGAACAGGAAAAAGAGTTAAATACTAGCGCTTCAGATTTGTACTCAATGTTTCAACAGATGAAAATTGGTTCAATAGAACGTTGCGAGAAATCGATCCCAAAGGAGAAGCTCTTGGCACCTATGTGAGTTTGCTTACTCAGCTCTCAACTAGGAATTTTGCTACTTAATTTTTTAACTTGTTATACAAAGAGAAATAGTTGACTTTCTCAGGAAAAATCATGGGCTCCTTCAAGGCTACCAATACTATTCGGTTGGCCCGGGAACACAGTCCAAATGGACTAGAAAGCCGTCCAGAATTTTGTCGCAGCCTGGTACATGGCCGCGCTTTTGAGAGCGTGGCTAGCCCAGCATGTTTGGGGACAATTTTTAAAGCGGGTTCAAACAATTTACTGTTTCGGTGCTGGTACAAAATCGATCCCCGCGGTTCCTGTCACACACATGAGTGCTTTTCCATGATAGACAGTCTACCATGAAAGGCTCTGTGTGTGCGAAATCAGAACTGTGAGCAAGTTCTGGCCCCGTGCCCACTACAGATTTCGTTGTAGCAACCACATTTCAAAAATTGTGAAAATCCAAGTAAATGGTTAACCTGTGATGTTTATAGCTTTTAAATACCAAATAGCTGCCGCTCATCGCGCTTCATGAGCTTCGTGAGTACAGTATACTTTTCAGATTGGTCCATATAGGACACACAACGAGGAGTTCGTCAAATATCAATCCTACTGCTTTC